ATACTGTAAGGAGAGGGTATCACTCACTCTCCAATGAACAAGCAAAGGTGCCATGCAACCTCTGAATGGAGTATTCAAGGCAGTCAGCTGAGACTTACCAGTCAGAGACATCTGGTTACATGTAGTTGAAACATACTGAGTAGACCTTACTCAAACAATCCCATTTATACCAATTGAATAACACCCAAAACTAGTCTCTGGTGCGCGACCGCTTACAGCTAGGTCATGAAACAGCATACTCCCATGATAGGTATCAGCCTCACAAATGTATACATATCAAGCTGAGGTTGTTGAAGTTTGATAGCATTTGGGTCTCAATAACTGGCGATTGGGGATAGTCTAAGTACAATGTCACTACTTCTTTAAGGCAGAAACATATATACTTGATTGACTAAGTGAACATGGCGAGAACCTAGTGTTCTCAGCTTGATATATATATATTTGTGAGGCTGATACCTATTGTGGGAGTATGCTGTTTCATGACCTAGCCTGACAACAAGTGGGGCTGTGTTGTATCCAATCTCTCATTGGATCAGCCCCATTTGATTCATGATCAGATCTCCTTTCCCGATTATGCTCTAGATCGATCTGGCCCGATCCTTCGTCGCTTTGACTCTCCACTCTACAGAAAAACACTCAGAAATGACTTTGCATTGAGACCAGATGATGGTACATGTAATGCTACAAGACAGGAAGATTGAATGAAGAGTCCATGTTGTTGTTGTTGCTGGTGTTCTGACAAGCATCCTGTTCACTGCTGGCCTGAGAAGCAAGGAGGCACACCATCTCATCACCATGTCACAATCATGTGCACAAACACATTCATTGCACTCTTTCTCCTCCCTCTCATGCTGCATGTGCATCTCCTCATGCTTGGTATGCTCAGCCTCCAGTATTTTCTTGTGTCTGGTGCATTCCTGTTCAAGCTGCAGGCAGATCTGAAGGGTATCAATGGAAGAACAATAGAAAGCTTCAGCAAGTGTGTTGTGCTTGTGATCAAGGGCACCTTGCTTGCACTTGGTGCCAGGAGAGAGCTGGGCCAAAGATTGGGAAGAGGTGGAATCAAAGACATCCAAGCCACCAGCAGTGGAGGAAGGTGGTCAAGCCTGCAAAGGTGAAGGCAAAGGTGTGGTAAATATGTCATCATCACCAGTGCCAGCAAAGGATGCACCAGAAGTGGATGCAACAGCAGCCGGGGGGTTGGTGGGTGTCAGAGGTCGCGCGCCTGAAACCTGGTCTGCTCGTCGTTCGGCGACTATTAAGTTGTGCAACAGCTATTGTCTCTATACCAATCTCAGCGAGCTGTGTTGTTTGGCAACTATTGAGTTGTGTGACAGCTGGTGGCAGTCGATATGAATGCTGTATGCTATTGTAGGTTTCAGCTAACCTCTGTGGACACTCCATTCAGGGGTAGCTCGGCATGATCAATATCAATATGAAGGTTGTGATGACACCAAGGTCTGGTGTGAGTGTTCTTGTTGATGATGTGGTTGATGTGGCATTGATGATAAGGTTGGTGGTGTTGGTGATAAGGTTGGTGGCATTGACACAAGTGTCCAGTATGTCGACTTTCGATTGAGGTGATCCCCAGACTGCAGTGGACTACTGCCTTTGGTTCTATCTTAATCCAGACTGCTGGTGTGCTATGAACTGCCTTTGGACATCAGTGAGTGGTGATACAACACATGCACTACAATGAGGAGCAACCTTGATAGATTGCTACTATGCTGACAATAACTAATGAATACTTATATGCTGAAGTAGTACTAGTTGTATGGTGAGTAGAGTGGATGAGGATCCACTTGACCTCTGATGACAAGAAGGTATGGTTATATACCTCTTCACAGTGTCACCAGCGACACTGCTCCTGCTCTCTCTCCAGAGAGTACCCTCTTCATTGAGTACTGTACAGGGGGCCCCCTTAACACCCCTGTGCCTCTTGAGCTGTGTCGACCCCTTTGACACTGCTCCTCCTCCTCAGGACCTGCTTGCCAGTCTCCTATACACTGCTCCTCCTCCTTCGACCAGCAACGGTTCCTTTGACCCTTATCTCTTGAGCCCCTGAGTAGTACCCATCTGCATGCTCCTTGAGCTTGGTCCTCCTCTTGGCAGTGCTTGGCCCTCCTCACATATGCACTTGGTCCTCCTTGCATATGGGCCTGATCCTCCTTTGCATGTGGATCCAGACCTCCTTGCCCATGGTCTCCATGGAGACTGTACTACGACCATGCTATAGCCGACCCTTCTGTAGATCGGCCTGATCCCCTGATACCTGTGCTCCCTCCTTATGAACCTACGGCCTTCCTGCTTCCTGCGCATTCAGGTCCATGACAGTGGGTTCCATCTAGTCGAGAATAGGAGGCAAACCACAGCCGTGAGTGCCATGATCATACAGCTCGCTGCCACAAATATCCATGGGTATGTCAGCTGAGTCATTCGAAGGCATGTCAGCCTCGTCTTCGCTGGTGAAGTCGAGACTGGGAGTTGTGATAAGTGCTGCAGGATCAACATAGAATCAGCCATTTGTAAGCGGTCGCACGCCAGAGACTAGTTTTGGGTGTTATTCAATTGGTATAAATGGGATTGTTTGAGTAAGGTCTACTTGGTATGTTTTGACTACACATAACCAGATGTCTCTGACTGCTAAGTCTTGGCTGACTGCCTTGAACACTCCATTCAGAGGTTGCATGGCACCTTTGCTTGTTCATTGGAGAGTGAGTGATACCCTCTCCTTACAGTACAAGTGTTTGCAGTACTGTTGATAATGCTCTTGGACATTGTCTGGACTGCAATATACTTATCGCCTACAGAGGACAGGAGTTACTGGACTGCAGGTGTGAGCCACTGCCTACAATAACTGACTGGACCACAGGTGTTGAGCAACACTGCCTACAGTAAGGGACTGGACTGCAAGTGTTGAAGAACACTGCCTACAGTGGAGAACTGGACTGCAAGTGCTTAGAGAACACCACCTACAGTTGATGCCTAACAGTGATACAACACACATGTTTGAGGGTCATTGCAAAAGCACTGCTATTGCAATGATACATAACTAGGAGCCAAGTAAAGAGTAGAGTATAAAGTAAGTAAGTAGAGTGGATGAGGATCCACTCATATGTTATGGTGGAATGAGAGTATTTATGCATTTGATTGGTGTCACCTGCAACACCTATCTGTTCCTCTTGAGGGGCCTTTGTCCCCTGTTTGACACTGTCTCTCCTGCTGGCATCGATCCCATTGATGCTGAGCCCCTACCATCTGCACAGCATAATGGTTATGCAACACTGCCCTTTCACCTTCATGCTTCCTTTCCACTTGATGATGTGTGATGACCCCTTTGACACAGCCCCTCCTCTTCATTTAACCAATCTGTTCACCACTTCCTTCTCTCTTCACTGGCAACCACCTTCCTGACCTTATCTTGTGAATCCCTTTAGCCACTTGTTGGACCTCATGACCAAACCCCTTGGTCATGCAGTCACCCCCTGTGCTTGGTCCTGTGTGGCTATATGCATGCACCCCTCAAGCAGTAACCATCTGCATGATGCTGAGCTCAGTCCCCCACTCCTACATGTGGTTATCTCTGTATGCTTCTCCTTCTAATGCCAGTACCTTCCTTCCTGAATCTCCTGATACTTGCTTGTATCAGCTGACTTGCTGAGGCATGCTGATCTGGCTGATTCTGATCAATCCTCATGAGATTAACCTGGAACCCAGAGTTCAGTCAATCTCATAAATCATATGCACTACCAGCCTGATTAGCTTTGTCAATTCCCAATGATTTGGCACTGATCAATTTGGTGCTCCCTTCATATGTTGATCCACTGACTCTGTGACATTACCATGAATGCCATCAGTCAATTTGGTGCACCCTTCATATGCTGGCCCGCTGGCCCTGTGACACCATTCATCATCTCATGCATCCTTTCAAACCAAGCATACTTTGTTGACAGGGCAATGTGGGATATGTAGGACTGTTTAAAATCGAAAGTATGAATCAGCATCCAAGCATACCATTGCAAGCAACAAAGATTGCCAAAACTTATCAGGTTGGATGCATCCATGCCCTCCAGCAGCATACCAGCTCCAGTGAGTGAAAGCTTCTTCTTCTCCCTGTAGTATGTCTCTAGCAGCCACCTCAGCTTGGCCTTGATGTGATTGGGATTGACAGATGCACCTGGGAAAATCATCTTGGAGATCTCCCAAAAAATGGGATGTTTGCAAAGTTTGAGGGCTGGATTGCTCTCAGCTGATTCTCAAGATGGCAGCAGAGCATGCTGGTAGGAGTTGCTGTTGTAGAGGATTGTGATGAGGTGAAGAACATTGGCACCTGACCATGTGAAGTTCTTCTTGCCTGTGGCAGATCTAGAGGCTCGAGTTGGACAGGAAGTGCAGATGTCAGAAGTGCTTGTAGAACCAGATTGAGACAGTGCAGGCACACTTTCAATGTGAGTTGCAGAGATTGTAGGTGTAGAGGACTGGCATAACAACTCTGCAGAGATGTCATGAGAATCATCAGTGGAGGAGGTCATGTTGAATGAGTGCAAGGAAGAGGGAGTGAGCAAAAGTGTGACAAGAGTGAGCAAAAGTGTGACAAGAGTGAGCAAAAGTACAACAAGAGTGAGGAAAGGAGAGAAGATGTGGAGTGATAACTGTCCTGCATTTTCACAATAGCATCTCCTGAGCTGTGTTTTTAAAAATGCGGTTTTTTTTTCCCCTTTGTGCAGCTTATGTAAGCTTTTGTGTCTTTTTTTGAAAAACATGCTCTTGAAAAAACCCGCATTTTTAAAAACGCAAAAACTTTGATACCCCCTTAAAGTAGTAGTAACATCGTACTCGGACTCTCCCCGATCGCCAGTTATCGGGACCAAAACATCCTCACTTCCAACAGAATCTTCCCTCATCAAATATCCATCCATCTTTCCCTCCCTCTCTCTCTCTCTCTCTTCGTCTGCCGACCTTTGACGCTAAGCACTTGCCAGTCCTTGGTGCAGAACACAATGGCGCGGACAAAGGGCATCACCCTTCGGATTCGCAAACAGGCCGCTCCTTCCGAAGATATGCTGGCTGACGGCCTTGCCGATGCGGCAGCCTCATCATCAGAACAACACCAACCACCACACAACAACGAATACACACAAAATCAAGAGCAGCTGCAAGACCAAGAGATGGCACATGCTGAGGGCTCTCGAGCATCGACGCTGTCTCGTTCGAGAAGCTCACGGCTAGCACGAACACGATCGCAAGAGGATGCATTCGAGGGCGCGTCCTCTCCTGTCCGTGCAACACCATCACGCCGTTCGCGAAGGCAATCAACCAAACCTGAGCCGCAGAGTGTTGACGAGGACGCTGACATGGCTTCGCCGCAGCAGGAGACTTTCGAGCCAGACGCTGAGGGAGATGAGAATGAAGCGCACGGTGCTTTTGCCACACCGCGTAGCCGTTCAACCCGCAGTCGAGTCAAGTCTTCGACCACACCAGTCCCTCAAACGCCATCTGCACCACGACCAAAACGAAGTCCCAAGAAAGCATCTAGAATATCGGTAGTAGGCAGAAGAGGCGGACACAGTGCAAAGGATGCTCCAGCGGAGGACGAGGAGATTGACGCGACGGAGGAGCAGGACGATCCGGCGGAGCAGGAGGATGGAGCTGGTGGTAATGACGCAAACGCCGATGAAGGAGCGGAAGAGCATGTGGAAGGTGAAGAAGAGGACGACCAAGACGCAGACGCAGATGGCGATGGAGATGGCGACAACGATGATGAAGAGGGTGTCGATGAGGAAGGCCGCAAGACTGTCACAATCAAGGGAACCAAGTACCTTCTCGAAGCCGATGGAGAGGAAGTCGTGCTGCCCTCAGACCCTGATGGTGACAAGAAGGTCGACAACAAAGGTCGTCTGCTGGGTGGCAGACAGTACAAAGCATACAATTTCACATCTGACCTTCGTGAAGATCCGGAGAAGGTCTACATGCTGTCCATCGATGCCGCGCGCTCAGCGGGCTACCGCGACTCGCTCTACTTCTTTCGCCGCAATCCGCAGATCTTCAAGATCGAGCTGATGCAAGAAGAGAAGGACAAGCTGATCGACGACGGTCGTCTGAGTGGACAGCTCAAGACGCGAAATGTGACCATGGTGCCCGCTCGAAACGTCTACAAGCTTCATGGAGCTCGCTTCTTGAGTGGAGGCAAAACTATCATCGATGACTACTACGAAGCAGAGGCGCGAGCTTCAGGCGTCAAGGAAGGCAAAACCGTAGGAGGCATGTCGAATGAGGAACAGGAGAGGCGCCGGGAGGCTGAACGTGAGCGGGAGCGTCCCAAGAAGAAGGCCGACACATTCAGCTACACCACCATCGACCCGCAAGGCGATCCCGTGATCACACAGTTTGGAGATGCCGGCCAACAACCATGGGTGCGAGCCGGCAACTGGCAGTCACGCAAAGCGGCTCTGCAACGCATGGACATCACTGAAGACAATTGGATGCTCGAGATGGCACGCAGCGTTCGCGGGATGAACACGGAGCTCAACGAGACACGCAAGGATCGACTGTCAGCCTTCCCGCGCTTCAACCGCTACATCGGTATCGACGGCGTTGCTGGAATTGAGGAGGCCAAGGACGAGGTTGCAGATTGCGAGGCCGAACCTGAAGACGATCCAGAGGCACTCAACGATCTTCCGCCATGGGAGCGAGAGAAGCTGCCCGCAGCCATTGAGGGAGAGCTCGAGGAGGAAAGCAAGAAGCGCAAAGCTCAACTTCAAGACAACTTGGACTCGCAGCGTCGTCGTGGCCCACCCATAGGTGTCTACGAGCCCAACACGCATCTTCCCCACTTCAGCGTTCTCACACAGCCAAGCCAGGCGTCCATGATCAAACTCGCACAACGCCCAGCATTCATCAGCGATCCAGGGCAGGAAAGAGGAGATCGACGTCCTATCTTGGGAGGCGACAAACTTGGCTCTGGAGCATGGGGTATTGCCAGCTTCTCCGTTGAATGTCTGCCACCAGCCAAAGTGTCAGGCCATGTTGTGGTGCCCGCAGGCGCGAGTGCAGACTCGGTTTCAATCTCCACGGAATAATCTGCGTCGTCGACCAGCGGCGCTTTGTACTGGTACTCATGCAACAAACATGCAAGCAAGCTTCTTGTCGTTACCGCAGTCTGTCTCTTCGTCTTGTCTCATGTTCTGAGTCGATGTATGTGCGAGGCCATTGCGTCCTTTGAGAGAGTCGAGCTATCGAAATTGCAAACGTACGAGATTCGAATGTGCCGAAAAGGGGGAAGTGTTGGTCTCTTCCACTTGCATGCGCGACAGAACTATGTGCATGCAAGAAGTGTTGTGTTTCAGGACCCTGGCGTGTTGCTTTCTTTGCAGCTCGAAAAGTCCTCAGAGGTTTGACTAAGGTGCCGTCACGCATGTCATAACGGGACTTTCAAGCTTTGCATCTCAGCCCTTCTGCCTTGTATTCAAGCGCCACGCAACCATGAACCCCCCATTTCCTCTTCAATCACATACTTTGGGTCTGAAACGGAAGTGTATGGCAAGGCAGCCCCTGAAGAAAAGCCAGAGGGACGTGAAAGGCGTAGTGACTTGCGAGGACATCGAAGCGGCTCGGCGACGCTGAACGCACGGCTCACCCCGGACTTCCCACCAGGCAAATGCACTTGCAGGAGTCGAGCTGAGCAATACGAACATCAGAACATGTCCTTTGAGTTTGCAACGTTCCTCCTCGACATACATCTATCTCTTGAACATCAAGCTGATACCAACAAAGGCTTCTTCTTGGCCACCACGATCAGAGTCAACAGGCGGCGAAGGCATCGGTATCTTACACATCTACTCACCTGTACGCTCGCGATACCGATCCCAAACAACCGGCCAAGGAGCAGCCTAAACCATCTACTACGACATGTCGGAGGTAGACAAAGAGAATCGCCTTCCCGCCACAACTGACGCAGCAAGCAAGCGCCCACTTACTAGCAAAACTTCAGCTAATATCACGTCGTCGCCATCATCAATCGAACCGCCTCTCGGTCAAGTTTCAGTCGCATTCCCAGCAGAGGATCCAGATGCAGATCGCGATATGCTTGCCAGTGACGGCAAGACGTTGCGGTCCAAGCGGTCCGTCCTCTTCTACGGATCTGCCAACTCGGCCAACAAATCCAACCAGCAGCCCTTCTCTCGCAGCGCCGCCAAGAGAGAATCAATCCTGGCGCTTGGAAGCATCGGTTATCTTCAGCACCTGTATACGAAGCAAGGTATCGCCAATCGTAAACGTCCGATGATGAAGGGCGCCATGACCCTCGCCATCGGTCCCGCCGGCGAAGCAATGATGTCGTCCGAAGGTGACGAACCAGGGGCGCTGACTGACTCAGACATAAGGACTCGCGGTCGGGCATCTTCAAGCCAAACTGCGGAGGAGGATGAGGGCCCTGACTGCTTCGATTTGCCACCAAGCCCAGAGGCAGGCACATTCACACGGCCGCGATACCTTGACGTAGCACGACCCTTGGAAGCAGATACGCAGGCACTCCGTGCTCTTCTTGTTGCCGACTTGCGACGACTGTCAGAGGTGTGGGCGCTCTCGGAGTGGATTGCGAGAGACTCAGATGCAGCCGGGATCAGGCAAGTGATGTCAGCAGACACGTCTAACAGCGAGAGCCCAAACATGCCACCATCCACCTCTGTGGATCTACTCTCTGTCATCGATGTGACCACCAAAGCCATTCGATCGGTACGCAGCTACATTCTTGCTCTTCCACAACGCTCCAAGATACCTACAACGGCCCCAAATGAGCCTATAGGACGAGACCGCTATAAGCGTCAAAGTAGCTTCAGTGGAGTGTCGAGGCCAGGCCAGGTTGGCACGCCAGTTCCAACGAGAACCAGTGAAATCCTTCACCACAGTCTCGCGGTTGAAAACAGCTCTGCGAAGCATCCCCTTTCCAAGCCGTCGTTGGAGAGGCGGAACTCCAGCACACAAGACACCGATGACGCCGAACAACTCGTCATAATCCGAAAGGCTGCGCTCGAGATGCTGTCCACTCTCAAGGACTTGGAGGCGAGAAATCGAGTCGAAGTTTTAGATGCCAACGGCGAAGGAACACTCAAAGATAGTTCACAGGAGCAAGATGCTCCCACCAAGCTTGCATTGAGCATCGACCCTGATGAGTCGAATATAAGCGCCTTTGCTGGCAGGGTTTCAGGTACCGGCTACCTATACCGCTCTGATATCAAGCTCGCTGATCTAGCTCCAGAGCAAAAGGTTCTTCAAGGTTACCTCAAGACAGTCAATGCGGTTTTGACATGCGCCGAAGCATGCATCCTGGAAAGCAGAAGAGATGGTCGCCGTTCCTCGAATACAGGAACACTCGGCGAACATGAAGCCATTATGCCTACAGGAACGTCGCATTCGGCCTTCGACAGTGCGCCCTGTATTCGCCTAGACTCGTCAGCGTCTTCGAACTCGTCCGACGCGAGTCTTGACTGGAGAGCAAATGGCCTCAGCACAGCAAAACGTGCTTCTCGCTTTATGATCGATCTCTGCGGCGCGTGTGTTGGAGAAGAGCTCGACGAAGCACGACTCAAGAGGCTGATCGACGCCAAGGATGACCTCGAACGCCTTCTGCCAATGCTATATGATGGCTACCTGCTCTGTCGAGCCTTCAACGAGGCTGTTCGAAGATCAGACAAGCCGTGGGGTTACATTTCTTCTCGCGAGATGCATGATCTTGAAGCAGAGGAGGCAGCCTTGCTCCACAAGGGGGCATTGCGGCTCAAGCAAGCACAAGAAGACGAAGCGGTCAAGTTCCAGACTCGCTCGGATAGGAGGACTGCCAGTGAAGACAATGGTGGCATAATCGAGACAGAGGCTCGCGCGAAGTCGCTTGAGTCGGAAAATCTACTCAGCCGACCTGGATGGACCTTCCGCCGGAGCGAAAACTTACGGGTTTGGGCAGCTGCACTCAAGTTGCGCTATCACATTCAGACCACTGCCACCCGGGCAGTCGCTTCTAAGCCTGTCAAAATGGGCCCGACGTATGGAAGCTTGGGCATGGGCAAGTTGGCTCTGCATGGACGTAGGGTAGCGTCAGAGTCACATGCGTCAGCTTCAGACCTTCCACATGGCTCGTCCAGAACGATCGACTTTGACCCGGCAAAAATTGCACGCAAGGAAGACGGGTGGCAGGAGATGCTGATTACGCTGCTCACAGCTTGGATCGAAGCCGTTGCCGAGGAGCAGGCGAGCGAAGCAAACATCGTGTGATCTTTGATACCATCGTACTCATTTCAAAAGTTCAGATTGCTTCGAATCGCAGTCAAGCGAGTCGAGCGATTTGTGCTTGAGGTCATTTACTTTGTGCATCACGTGATCGTCAAGAAGGCGTGCGCGTCTGGGCTGAATTAACAATCTACTCGCTACGCTTCCTCTTCTCTCTTCACTACATCATCTTCACCAGGAGCTAAGCGTACTATTAGCAGCCTGGTTCGTCGTTAATTTTCCCTCCCTTACACCCTCCCTTGCCGCTCGTTTCTGCACTCGACCGGCCCACTGTTACGGCGGGCCGGGAGCCTCCTTGTCGAGCTTCAAGGACCTCACGGGTCTTTACCTGCAATCCACTTAGTTTTTCGTGTTATGTATATACAATTTGGTTATGTTTCGTGCGATTGAGTCCAGGCGGGATGATTGAATGTGCAGAAACATCCCATGAGGTACAAGTACAAATGTAATGAAGGAGAGAGGACAACAGTGACATGGCGGGACCGGGGGGGGGGGGGGGGGGGGGGTTTATGGTATCAAAAATGTGACAGAGAGAAGGTAACTTCAGAAATTGACATCGTGACCGAAGGCCATTGAGAGCGAGTTGGAATCAAACAAGACTTCCTCCTGCTTTCCAGACTGAGGTTGCTGAACAGATGTGCTGGTAGGGTTGGCAAAGACACTGAGGCTGTTAAAGTTGGCATTGAGCTCCGAGACAGGAGAGAGGAGGGGAAGGTTGTCGGTGCGGCACCCGGTCCAGGCCTCTTGAGCGACGAGCGAGCTTGGGTGGCTGCTTCCTGTTGGGGAGAGCGCGAAGGGTGAGATGTCGCGCGAGACTTTGCCCCCTGGGATAGCAAAGTAGGAATGCTCGAGCATGGGAACTTCAGCTTGGATCAAGGAGTCGCCTGTGCTGGAGCTTACACTGCAGCTCGAAGTTGCACTGATCACTTCAACACCTTGCTCTTCCTTGACCAATCCGGAGCCGATGAGGGGAGTAGGTGGGGAGAGGGGACCAAGAGGGAGGGGACCAAGAGAGAGGGGACCGTCCGAGTTGGAACGGCTAGCTGGCATCGTAGGCACAACATAGTCGCGGTTGCTCTCGTGCTTGGTGCCAAGTGCGGATACGGCCGACTGAAATCCACTCCAAGCTGCCATCGAAGCAGGCATCTGTGACTGGACGTGGGCATTCCAAGCAACGATCCCTGTGGAGTCGGTAGAGAGAAGCTCTTTAGCAAGCCCCTTGACATCGGTGCTAACCTTTTCGAAGCGCTTGCCAGCCACCTTCTGCATAAGTGCAGCAGTAGCGACCTCAGCTACGGACGGTCTTTTGAAGAAAGCATCCGAAGTACTGACAGGCAAGTGAATCGAACTTCGCCTTCGAAGCGCAGCAATTGGCAATTCCGAAGTAAATGCGTCTTGCGTAGGGAAGGGAACGCCGGCAAAGTCGTGACCGTGAGGTGCGGGGAGATCGATGGGGCGAACATGCGCAGAGGTGGGTGCCATGGTCGGAACACCGGTGAGGTCGACCAGACCAAGGTCAAAGTCGGCCTCGGTGGCATTAGCGCGACCTGAAGGGAAAGCTGGCATGGACGACGCAGTGCTGAGGCCCATAAGGTCGACGACGTGAGGCGATGTCATGGTCTGCTGTTGATGCTGGAAGCTAGGCGTTGTGGGCTGATTGAGGTCGAAGAAGGGCCCCGCAGTGACCGAAGGAACCAGCGGTGCGGACAGAGGACCAGGGTAAAACTCGACCGGTGCATTGGGTGATTCGACGTGTTGTTGTGCTGGTGACACGGTGAGCGACTGATAGTATCGGTAAGCTTGTGCTGGTGTTGGTAGTTGCGAGACCGATGCATTCTGGAACGGCGACTGAGGAAGTGGGGATGTGAGAGGACCAAACCTGTGCTGCATTGTTGTTGCTCGTGTGTCGGAGATGCCGCGACGGCGACGGGGACCAAACTGAGAGTCAACCGACTGACCTTCTAGTCGCGGGTCAGGCATTTGGAGAAAGAGTGGTGCCAAGTCCTGCTGAGACATGTCGCCGACGTAGTGAGGGTGGTGAGCTAGTGGTGCTGATGGCATACCGAGCGCAGCGCCTGCGTGCAACATGGAAAGAGGCGATTGACCAGCAAAGATGCCGAGTGATGCCATGCGTGCTAATTTCTTCTCCTTGTTCCTACGTTTGCGCTCACGAGACATGAGGTTTTCGTACTCGGTCACCGGCTCGTACTCGCACTCTCTGCGAAGACGAACACAGGTAGAGCACGAGGGTTGGGCTCCGTCGCACTTGATTTTCCTATGACGAGAAGAGGAGGAGACATTACGAAGCAAGGGGAAAAGGATGTCAGTATGAAGAATACTCATACGGGAAAGCCCTATTATAGATGCGAGTACCCACCTGTGACGACAATGAATGCATGCCATGTTGATGCGCGCTCTTGTCTTGCCTTTACCATCCAGGCTGTCGGACGGCGATTCGGCTCTCTCCATGCCATGTTCTGAAGTACCTCTCTCGGATGTTCGCTTCCTAGCCAACACGGGACGAGAAGAGTGGGTGGTGTCAAATGGTGAGGGCATCTTGTCGGCTAAGTCGAGGCGGAAGGTAGCGACCAAGTTGTTGAATTTTGGTAGGACAGGAAGCACAGGTGTGCTGGTCTGTGGATTAGCCAGAAATTGTCTTATTATTCGATGCTACGGTCGAACGCAAGGTGAAGAAAAGACGACGAGATGTGGTTGGTGGTGAGCACCGAGGTACGGTGAGAGGCGATGCTAAGGATGGAGGGACGTAATGATTGTGGTGACGTCGGGTCTAGCTATGTTGTAGGCTGTGTTGTCGACAAAGGTGATGGAGTAGGCTTCAATTGGGATAGTCGAAGAAGTTCGAGAGAAGGGGGGGGGGGGGGGGGAGGAAAGTTTAATCGTGGCGGAAGAACATGAAGCGGAGTCAAGGGGATATATACAAAGCTGCGCATACTCTTGCTATCTCTGGCGTACAAAGGGCAGCGGTGAGCGCTAAGTCTAGACACACGGAGGCGAGGCGGAGGTGGCTGACAAGCATCGAACGGCCACGACCACGATTACGACCACAGTGACAGACAATGGCATGTGACAGAAGACAGAGCATGGATGTAGATTCAGCAACAAAGGTGCAAGAGAAAAGAGGAAGCTGAAACCATGGACCTCAGGAGCTGCAGCATCAACTGTAGAGCCAATCTATCTGGGTCGGGCGGAATGAGAGCGACCAATCCAACGATTGCGAATAGGGCCAGCCACAATTTTCGTCTCCGCGGTAAGCATTCTATTGTGCATCTGACCAGATTCTAGGGTGGGCAGGGCGACCACGATTGCATGGGAGCGAGAGGCAAGAGGGTCAAGCGAGTGGCGCCAAACTCGTGGCATGGCATCCCTGCAGATTTAGCGGAAAGGCTGCTGTATACAATAGATGGGTGCGATGGCTGGTGTGGGAAAGTGTCGCTTTGACTGTTGCAGGAGCAGAAGGGAGAGCGGGTGGTGGCAGGTGGCAGCTCGGCTCTCCGGCCTAAATGACCGGAATAACAATAAGAGAGTATCAAACATTTTTCAATTTTAAAAACACGGGTTTTTCGAAGGGCGCGTTTTTGAAGGAAATTAGTTGAAGATACGTCGGAATTTCTAACAGGTTTACCCGGGATGCAAAGTGAGGATTGTGAATAAACAACGTGCATGTGAAACACATGTTGGTTGTTATGGCAACGACTCAGGAGCTCTGTAACGGCAACTCAGGAGCTTAACATAGGACACCCAATTCATATGAGGCAGTCTAACAACCCTAAAAAGACGTAAAAGGCATATATATACACATGTAGCTTCAACCCCCTTTAAGTAATAAGACAAGCATTGCAGTTAGTATACACCTGTGTCAGCAGTCATGTGCCTGATGTCAGGGGTCGCACACCTGAAACCTGAAATCTGTAGTAGAAAGACAACTACTACTGATCCTATCAAGATCTGTGGTAAAAGGCCTTTATTATTATTCTTGTTGAAATCTGTTGTAGAAGCCTTCTATGACTTTTCTCACTTGAATATGTGGTAGCTTGAAAGTTATTGCAGCTTTTGACTAACCACTGTGGACACTCCATCCAGAGGTAGCTCAGCATGATCAATAACTATTGATATGTTGTGATGACACCAAGATCTGGTGCTGATGATGTTGCTGGCACCAACACAAGTGTCCAGTGGGTCAACTGAGTGACTGAGTGATCCCTGGACCACAGTGGACAACTGCCTTTGGTTCTATGATCAAGAGAGCTGGACTGCAGTATGAACTGCCTTCAGTGTCAATTGATGTCAATGAGCAGTGATACAACACATGCACTATGTTAGATGCAATGCTCTGCAATTGCAACTGTTGATGGAATACTAACTATACTCTCTGTGAAGCTATAACTAGTGATGTAAGGTGTAGAGTAGATGGCGATCCACCCACTTGCTATGGTGAGGAACATGGTTATATACCATTCTTGCAGTGTCACCTGCAACACTGCTCCTCCTCCTTGTCCCTCTTATCCTCCCCATCCACCTTGTGATGCCACTTGTTGGCACCACTTCCCTTGCCTCCTGTGGACAGATGGTCCTCTTGCGGCCTCATCTCTCTCAGGGGTCAGTCCCACTTCATCTGAGTGGTGACTCACACCCTTTCCATCCTCCTGTCATTGGTGCCCACCTGCTGGCACCAACTTCATTGTCATGCAAGGCCCCTACTTCATCTGGTAGTAACCTCCCCCTGGCTTGGTATCCTCCACTTGCCATATCGGCAATAGAGGCACCTCTCAAACTGATTCTCGTGAGGCCTGTTGTAGCGAGCGTGGTCCTGCTGATTCTATGGACTTCCGTAACAAGACCTGTGTGTCACAGGGGCAGCAGGTCAGCGTATGAAGGGTGCGCCAAATTGATCAGCAGCAAAACATTGGGAATCGATGAAGCTAATTGGGTTGGTAGTGCATATGATTTACAAGACCAACTGAACTCTGGGGTCCAGGTTAATTTCACAAGGACTGATCAGGATCAGCCTGATCAGCATGTCTCAGCAAGTCAGCCAACATGAGCAAGCATCAGGAGCTTCAGGAAGGAGGATACCAGCATTAGAAGGAGAAGCATATGGAGATAACCACATGTAGGAGTGGGGGACCAAGCTCAGCATCACATGGATGGTTACCACTTGAGGGGTACATGCATATAGCCACACAGGACCAAGCACAGGAGCAACCACAGGACCAAGCACAGGGGCAACCACATGACCAAGGGGTTTGGTCACAAGGACCAACAAGTGGCTAAAGGGATTCACAAGATAAGGTCAAGAAGGTGGTCACTGGTGAAGAGAGAAGGAGCTGTGTCAAGAAGAATGGAGATTGGTTAAACAAAGAGGAGGAGCTGTGTTGAAGGGGTCATCACACATCATCAGGCAGAGAGAGAGCATGAAGGCAAAGGGGCAGTGTTGCACAACCATTATGCTGTGCAAATGGTAGAGGCACAGCATCAATGGGGTTGATGCCAGCAGGAGAGACAGTGTCAAAAAGGGGATGAAAGCCCCTCAGGAGGAGCAGGATAGGTGTCACAGGCAACACCAATCAAATGCATAAATACTCTCATTCTACCACAGCATACAAGTGGATCCTGATCCACTCTACTTACTATATACTTACTCTTTACTTGACTCTTAGCTACATATCATTGCAATAGCAGTGCTTTTGCAACAACCCCCAAATGTGTGTGTTGTATCACTGTTAGGCATCAACTGTAGGTGGTGTTCTCCAAACACTTGTGGTCCAGTTCTTCAACTGTAGGCAGTGTTCTTCAACACTTGTGGTCCAGTCCCTTACTGTAGGCAGTGTTGCTCAACACCTGCAGTCCAGTCAGTTATTGTAGGCAGTGTCTCACACCTGCAGTCCAGTAACTTCTGTCCTCTGTAGGCAATAAGTATATTGTGGTCCAGATGACATCCAAGAGCATTAACAACAGTACTGCAAACACTCATACTGTAAGGAGAGGGTATCACTCACTTTCCAATGAACAATGAACATGCCACATAACCTCTGAACAGAGTGTTCAAGGTGGTCAGCCAAGACCTACCAGTACGAAGCCGTCTGGTTACATTTAGTCGAAACATCCTGAGTAGATTGTCATGGGGCTGGTGTAAGCGGTCGCGCGCCAGAGACTAGCTGAGGTTGATTGAGTAAGGTCTACTCGATATGATTCGCCTAAATGTAACCAAGCATCATCACCTAGTAAGTCTTGACTGACTGCCTTGAACACTCCATTCAGAGGTTGCATGGCACAAATGTTGTTTGTTGGTGAGTGGGTGATACACCCTCCCCTACAGTATGAGTGTTCATAATACTGTTGATAATGCTCTTGGACATCGACTGGACCGCGATTTGCTAATTGCCTACAGAGGATGGGAGTTACTGGACTGCTGGTGTGAATCACCACCTACAATAACCGACTGGACCGCTGGTGTCAAGCAACACCACCTTCAGGAAGGGACTGGACTGCAAGTGTAGAAGAACACTGCCTACAGTAATGAACTGGACTGCTAGTGTGAAGAACACTGCCTACAGTTGTCGACTAATGGTGATACAACACACACATTGAGAGTCATTGCAAGAGCACTGCTATTGCAATGATATGTAACCAAGTAAGTATAGAGTAAGTAAGTTGAGTTCAGAGTGGATACCGATCCACTCATATGCTATGGTAGAATGAGAGTATTTATATGTCTGGTCGGTGTTTTCCCTCGACACCTATCCTGCTCCTCTTGAGGGGCCTTTGTCCCCTGTTAGGCACTGCCTTGCCCTGCTGGCATCAACCCCTTCGATACTGCACTCCTACCATTTGCTTGGCGTAAGGGTTATGCAACACTGCCCTCTCGCCTACATGCTCTCCTTCTGTCTGATGTGTGATGCCCCCTTTCGGCACAGCCCCCTTTCGACTTGTGAATTCCCTTTTGAACCTCGTGACCATACCCCCTGGTCATGTGGTCACGTCAGCACAGTTCCATCTCAACTTGTTCAGATCGGCTGACTAGTTGAAGCGTGCTGATCCAACTGACTCCGACATTGGCACAGCTCCGAATACTTGTTCAGATTGGCCAACTAGTTGAAGCATGCTGGTCCAGCTGACTCCAACCGATCCCATGAGATCAATCTGGATTCCCAGGGTTTGATCGATCTCATAATTCATGTGCACTGCCAACCTGATTAATCTTGTTGATCCCTGATGGTTTTTGACTCTGATCAATCTGGTGCACCCTTCATATGTTGATCTTCTGCGCACCCTTCATATACTGCTCCGTTACGCGACATTATCATAACTGCCGCTGATCATTTGGCGCACTCTCTTGCGCAGGCCAGCCGTCCCTGTGACAGCTGGATGCGCAAGAAGCAGGAAGATCCGTCAACTCATATGAAGGGAGCGCAGGAATCAAGGAATCGAGGAATCGGGCAGATCGTAGGATTTGCAGCAGAGTTCACTGAGATCTGTAGTAGAGACAGCTCTATTACAGATCTCACCTAGATCAGCACAAGCGAAGTTGATATCAT